CTCGGGAGGTGGAGCCAGGCAAATCTCTGTGAGTTTGAGGCCACAGCGTCTAGAGTGAGTTCCAGGACAGCCAGAGCTAAAACAGAGAAACCCTATCTCAGAAACAAACAAATCAAACCAAACTAAAAACTAAAAACATAACACAATAAGAAACATTGGGTGCCCTACTGAGGAGAATTGGCATTACTGTATTGCTGTGACTTGTCTCTTCTGATCACACCGTCCCTCTCAGAAAGTATCACTTACCTACTGATGCATGAAATTTTACCTACATATGATGACTTAAAACACCAACAGACTAGTGAGATGGCTCAATGGGTAAAATCCCTTGGTAGGAGAATAAAATCTCTGAAGTTCTTCTCTGACCTCTGCATGTACACCATAGTAAAAACATATACAAAGAACATTAAAAAAAAAAACAAAACAAACAAACAAACACCAAACCAAAAACCAAAACAACAACAAAAAAAAAAACAAAACAGCAATAGTCAAGCTCCTTAGCACAAGCCTGTAATATCTGTTACCTGGAGAATTCGCCAGGATGAGAAGTTGAAGGCCAAACTAGGCAATTTTGCAAGAGAATTTGAAAATAAAAAAATTTAAAGGAAGTCAGGTGGTGGTGCATGCCTTTAGTTCCTGCATTTGGGAGGCAGAGGCAGGTGGACCTTTGTGAGTTCAAGGCCAGCCTGGTCTACAGATTGAGTTTTAGGACAGCCAGGGATGTCCTGTCTCAAAAAGCCAAAAGCCAGAAGCCAAAAAATAAAAAAAATAAAATAAATAAATAAATAAAATAAAAAATTAAAAAATTAAAGGGCCTGGAGCCAGGTGGTGCGACCCTGTAGTTCCAGCACTTGGGAGGCAGAGGCAGGAGGGCGAAGAGTTCTAGACCAGCCTAAGCTACACGAGACCCAGTCTCAAAAAAATATCGGGGCAGGGGTTTAGCTCGGTGGTAGAGAGCTTGCCTAACAAGCGCAAGGCCCTGGGTTCAGTCCTCAGCTCTGGGGAAAAAAATATCTGGGATTAGGGTTATATTTCAGTCAGTAGAATGCCTGCTTCACATGGACAAAGCTCAGGGTTTGATCCTGACCACAGAGGCAGCTCTTGTGAAATCACATCTGTAATTCTAGCATGGGGGGGGGGGGGGGGAGAGGCACAAAAGCTGCTGAGCCTGAGCTACAGAGCCGGGGAGTGCGTGCCATGCAAGCACGGAAGACCTGCATTCAAACCCCCAGCATGAAATGAAAAAGCCAGGCTGACACACGTCACCTTAGCCTAGCGCTGCGGAGTAGACAGGTTTGCTGGCCTTGGCGAGCCATCAGTTGAGCTCCGGCTTCAGGGAGACCCCACTCAAGAATAAGGCAGAGATTCTAACACCCGGCTGTTACTTATGGCCCGAATGTGCACATACACGTTGTACAGTGACAAACAGAAAGAGCTTATCACAAGGAGAAACCTGAATTAGATGTGATTTGCTCTAGGTGGCAAGTAGTGACTAGGGAAACCACTAGTCCAGCCTAGATCAAAGCTTTCCTACTTCCCAGCGCCGTTACTTCCAAGTGAACATTTTGAGGTCCAAGGTAAAGTTCTAAAGCTTGGATTCCAATCTCACAATTATTTGGCATACCTAAAAACTTGAAGGCCCCAACCACACCTACTAAAACCTTTGGGCCTCTTGTGATACTTGACTAGTGTAATTGCTAAAGAAACAATTTTATGAGATTATATTGGTAATACAGGAGTTTAGGTTGAGCCAAGTGTGTGTTAACACATATAATGCAAGCACTCAGGGAGGCTGAGCCACTGGTACTACCATCTACAAAGCGAGCCACTGTCTTAAAGAACATGGCATTGTGAATGTGGGCTGGAGTATCGGATCAATGCACTGCTGCTTACCTTTGTCCAACAGAGAAATAAGAAGTAAAAATCTAAGTGCTAGCACAAAGGAAGCTGTACACCATCACACATATCTTTCAATCCTGGAAAGTGCAGATAGATCTACACAAGTTCTGGGCAGCTAGTACTACACTAAGATTAGTTTGTAAGGACATCGTTAGCTAAGTCTGAAGCAGAGTATAAACATCGACAACCCTCTTGGATTTCTAAGAAATTCATATTCTTTGCATCTAAATGTGGTAATTAAACACAGACACATCCACATATATACAGAAAGCACACACTACCTTATGGATGGGGTCATGATGTCTTCACCCTTGTTCTGAAATTGCAAACTATGGAATGCTAGATTTACCGTAGTGGCAGAATGCTTTTCTAGCATGCAGGAGGCTGGATCCCTTGGGAACCACAAGAAAACAGCAGAAACATTTTTTGGGGTTGTTCCTGAGTGATAGGGACTACAAAACCAGTATTTTGTAAATACCTTGTATTGGATTTTTAAGATTTATTCATGACCGTTGCTTGTTAGCGTACCATGTACAGGTGCAGCCTGAAGAGGCCTAAAGGGAGGGACTGGATCCCTAGAGTGGGCCACCATCCAGGTTCTGTGAACCAAACCTAGGTACTCTGGTAAAATAGCCACTGCTTTTAGCCAGTCAGCTATCTCTGGCTTCCTGTGCGTATTTTTTTCCACACAAATCTAACAAATCTTGGTGTATGGTTTAGAAATTGACATGCTCAGAAAATAGTATTTCCCAATACAAAACATGATGCCAGGCACGGTGGCACATGCCTGTAATCCCAGCACTCTGGATCTCAAGAGTAAAAGGACGACCAAGACTATATACAACAACCGAAACAAAGATAAAAGGGTAAGAACCCTACATTGCATGTTTGTCGTATTTGTTTTATAACGTTGCTAACTATTTTCTGTCCAGGTTGCATTTCCATAACTTCACACAAGCTTGCCTTCATTAGACTGGCCCACAGAAAATTTGATAGTGCATTAATGACTGATGTGGGTGCCCTGGGCTGTGTAAGTAAGCAGGCTGAGAAGGCGAGCAAGCCCTAACATTTCTCCATGGCCTTTGCTTTAGCTCCTGCCCAGAATTCCCTCAGCGATGAACCTGAAGCCCTTTCCGCACTGCTTTGGTCAGTGTTTATCACAGCAATGGAAAGCACACTGAGGCAGCACCTACGCACAAGTCCACGGCTTTCTATCACTCGTCTATAGAATTTGTCCCAAAAATTCCTTTACCTAGAAAAACCTTATTACTTAGAATTCTGAAACCTATCTGCAGGGAGAAAATCACCTTAAATTACCGAAGACTGTCCATTCATTTACATTATTTTATTTGGAAATGTTTATAACAGTACAGGGAAACTAAACTCCAGAGACAATGGCTATCATTTCTTTAGGCATCGTCAGTTTATTATAAAAGGGAGGCAATGAAATTATTTACATGATGAAATAGTTCAGAACATCGGTGGAATGGGCAGCTTCATGTGACACCATTTCAATAGTGATTTCAGTCCACATACTTTCCAAGAATATCACCATCTCTAAATAAGAAATAATCCTGTGAACAAAGAAACCATTGGTTAAGACAGTGACAGCAAATACAAAATTTATTTTTTTTTAAATAGTTAGCTTCACTTACTTACCTTGTCATCTAGAACTACTTTGGTGCCTCCATACTCTGGGAGAAGAACTTTGTCTCCAACCTTCACACTGACCGGTTGAATCTCTCCACCCTTAAGAAAACAGTTCATATTAGCAAAGACATCTTGTTTTCGAGACCCAGTTAACTTTTTGTTTCAGTATGTACACCGGGAGCCTCCTGCCTCAGCTTTCCAAGTGTTATAATTACAGGTATTCATCAACATATTCAACTCTACAGACAACTTTTTACACTAAACTAATGAAATGTGCTCACTCAAATCCAGTATGTTAAGTACCTAATTAGTAGCTGGCAATATAACCTACTTTAAATGTAGATCCTTAAAATATTAGCTTTACTGTAGTTACAATGTGAAATAAACAGGAGCTTACACTAAAACTGCATTTCAGTAGACAGTTAAGGTCGGCTAATTTTTAAATTAAGTATTAACACACTCTGTAACCCAAGCAGCTTTTAACATCAAATAGTAAATGGCCATGTATAACTTCTTGCAACAAAATAGGATAGTTTCTGTATTTACTATATACTTATTGACTCAATACCCTTGCAGTGAAGGCAGACTTGGTAGAGTGAAGCAGAACGTCCACTCTCCCCAAAATACTCGAGAGGTTTAGTAAGTGAAAAACATTCAGAGTAGTTCCATCTCCCTTCTGAAGCACCGAAGGATTTAAGAGTAAAAAAACTTTAGTCTGAGCTAAGCCAACAACCAGAGGCCCTCCCCTGCCATTTCACCCTTTCTTTTGGAGGATGAGGGAGCGAGACAGGGTCTATGTAGCCTTGATTGGCCATTAATTCTGGATCCTCCTGCCTCAGCAACCCCCCCCAGTATAAAAATTATACTTTTGTGTCTTTATTAAATTCCTTTTAATTTTGAAAGGGCCCCAGAGTTTATCTACATGTTCTTTTGTCTGACTACTTAAAATTCTAAAAGCAGGCTACAAAATAACAAGCAAAAAAGCTATTTCATTTGTGAGGCTTTGTTTTTCTTTTTTAAAATATGTTCTCACCCTGTACCTCCTGCCTTCGCCTCCAGAGAACTAGCACAAGCACCATCATGGCAGGCACTTTTAATCTCTGGAGTGTGGGAACCCAGGCTGGGATCCCAACAGTCTATTAAAAACTGTAACCCCCAACATACTGAAGGCGAGAAGCCAGACTAGGTCTACGAGAGGCCTTGTCCCGAAGGAGTAAGGTGAGATGCCCTGCAAATCAGCATACAGACATGTGCACATAATAATAAACACAAACCAAAAACTCATGTGTACTTTCAGTCTTTCTTCAGTTTCTCTCGATTCCTTAGAAAGCTAAAACAATTCTACAATGAATTCTCCTTAATGTGAGGTTCTTTTTGCTAACCTAGGATTTACTATTCCTTCTCTTCCCCATCACACATAAAACTTAGCACCAATTGTAACTCCAATTTACCTTTCCTTTCGCGCCTGATCCCACAGCCACTACCGTTGCTTGCAAAACTTTTCCTTGAGACTTTTCTGGAAGCATGATGCCACCTTTGGTTACAGTTTCGGCGGCACTCCTTTCAACCAATACTCGGTCAAAGAGCGGAAGAAACTTTCTAAAAGCTTGTCCAGCCTGTGGAGAGAAATGTGTGTTCAGACAGACTGCAATTACGTTCCAAGTGCCAGAAACATGAACAGTTAATACCATGCGAGTCTTAACTCTTAAAAGGTCAAAGAGTTCCAAAACCACAAAAAACCTCAAGTGTACGTATAGAATATATTCTTCAATGTGTCATTTCCATCCCCTGTCTGGTGTGTGTGTGTGGGTCTTCATTGCCCATGAGCAACTGCCATCATCTTCAACGCTAACCTTGGTCTACTCCAAGGTCAAACATTTTCCTCCTTTGGATTTTTTTTTTTTTTTTTTAATTCGAGTAACGCGGGGGAGTGGTGTCGATTTTTGAGCCTGGGTCGTACCCTTTCTCCAACATAGGACACATCCACCAAAGCCCTGCCAGGGCTGGTAGGCTTCTGAGTGTGTGTGCATGCGGGATCCCACCCCTACCCCAGACGCCTGCCGCACACGTGCGTGCAAGAAGCGGCGGTAGAGAGAGGAGTCGGACAGGCCTCGCTTCTGCAGAGCCACGGGCCGGCGCCGGCCACCGAGTGGACCCTAGTCCTGCCAGGCCTGAGGTGCACATGGGCACGCCGTGGGCTTCGGGCCGGGCCCGCCGCCCCAGGACACTCACCATGACTCGCCGCCGCAGCTCCGGACTCCGCACCCAGGCCGCCGCTGCAAGGAGAGTCCGGCGGGCCGGCGCAGGACACGTGAGAAAAAAGGGCCACGCCGCGCGCAGGCGCACTGAGCCCCTCGGCGGGCGGGAGGGCGGCCACGCCAGCGAGCGCGCCGATTGGTGGCGAGGGCTCGGCCTGGCCGCCGACGGGGGCGGCCGGAGGCGGAAGAAAAGGGGAGCACTTTCTAGGCTTTTCCAGGCGGCGCGCCGAGGTGAAGGAACGGACCCTTCGTCCGCCCCCTCCCGGAAATGACGCGGCCTGACCCTTGACCCACGGGAAGCGCGCCGCCTTCCGGAAGGTTCTAGAACGGCCCCCGGCCCAGGAACCAGCGTCCGGCGGCGGGGAGACGGCAGAGGCCGCGGGACGGAGGCCGCACGGGTACAGAGGGCGGTGCCGCGCGCGCCGCATGCAGATTGCGGGGCCCCGGGCGGGGCGGGGGCGGGGGCGCGCACACGCGGGCCGGCGGGGCGGGGCGGCCCGGCGGAGGGAGGGGACTCGGGCTCATTGCGGCGCGCGCCCTGC